GACGTCAGATTATATCTGTATCAAAACAATTTTAGGTTCGTCCCCACATTTTATATAAATCATTCTTTGAAGGATGTGTATGGATATGTCCTTGTGCCATTAATTTGAAGAGGAAGCAGAAAACAACACTCATTTTATTCAACCCGATTCTTAGTTTTAAATTCGTAAAATGTTCAAAAGGCAGCGTATAAAAAATTATGTCTTCAGCACATCTACCCGTAAAGCGTTTTTTAAAGACGGCCTAGTTTGAGAGTTAAAAATAGTCAGGAAAAAAAGATTTTCTACCTTGCAGAAATGTATTCTTTTTTGATTGACCAATCGTAGTTCCAATGAATACAATCAGTTGCAAATTAACTGCTTGCGACTAATTGAAATGCAATAACAACAAAAAAATTAGCAGGTTCATAAGGAAAGGATGGCGAACGTGAAGTTGGAGCACAAAAAATATTTTTTTTATCAAATTTCATTTTATCTGGTTGTGCACTTTAAATGGTTGTTTTTTTTTTTTTAAAAAAACTTTTTTCCAAAATTCCAGTAAGTTTTTATACCTACAATTAGTGAACGATTCTAAACCACAACAAAACTTTTCTAGTAAAAAATTTACCTCACAAAATAATGAATATGCTTGCTTTTAATCTTGTGTTTTTAGACTTTTTGGGGAGAAAACAGTTTTTAATAAAATTCAACTTGTTTATCTAGCTTTCGAATGCTTTTTGCTTATTGTGGAGCTGAGTGCTTTGATTTTAAAAATCCCATTTAACGACAGGGCTCAAGTGAAATGATAAATGATCAAAAAAATTGGTTAGCTCAAGTACTCTCTCTACCTAAAGCAATTTAAAGGACCAGCCAGAAAACAGACACGGCTCTTAAGGTTGAATTTAGACACAGTGCAACCAGCAAGTATGAAACAATAGACAACTGTCTCACATTTGCAAAAAATAATTCGTAGAAAAACTCAAGGAACCGTTATGAAAAGGATATGATTCGAGCATTTCAACTTTTTTCTATTGTTTTTGGTTTTGACGGTTTTCAATTTCCTCAAACTTGACAAAATTGATGCTCATTGAAGTAAAAACATTTATTGGAATTCTTCACTTTTTGGATTTTTTACGTATGCGATAATTAAGCATTTTCCAATTGAAATTTTTTTCTTCAAAAACGCATCTAACAGAATCCCTGATTTGCATGCTAATTTGATTTATAATCAAAACAGCCTCAGCGTCCTTCTGTGCCCATTTGGCTCAGAAGTATCGTCAGTTTTCGGGTCAATGTCCTGAGTATGAACCCGGCCAGGACCTGTTTTCTTTTAAAAATGAAAGTTTTTAGCATGAGAAAAAAAACTGAGTGTCAAAATTTTGTTTGTCAGCGTATTGTTTGTCGGCTGATTTTCTGCGACACATACTTTTCAAAAGACTAAAATAATTGACACTGAAAATGAATTTTTTGTTCGAATAACCTTGTTTTAAGGCAGGTAACGTTTTAATAAACTTAATCCAAATAATTTTAAAGAATTTAAAAAATCAGTTTGAGTTTTTTGCAGCTTTTTACAATTCTTACAAGTTTAATTTCCTTTTTTCCTCTTTTTTTTACTGACAACACAACCAAAACAAAGAAAAATCTTTGTTTTGATTTTTTTGAAATTATAATGTTAACTAATTGCACAAAAAATTGAGAACTAATTCGATTTTTTCCTGTTTCTCACAGATGATTTTTGAATTGGTTTGAGATGATCAAATAAGCTCATAGGAAGTATAAATGTGTTAGATAAAGGCCCAGTTCTTTTTACCACTAAACTTTTCGATCAAACATTTAAACTCAGTATTCACATTCTGAGTTTAAATCGAAATTTTTTTTGATTTTTTGGTGTCGCTGGCTTTTTTCTTTGGTTATTTTTTGGTGAGCTCAAACTGAATAGAATATATGTTTGTCCCATGTGTGCACATTTTTTTTTCCGAACACGGGCAGGCGTTGACAAATGTGGCCAGGTTAAGTAGTTGTTTTCTTTCATTCTTGAAAACGCTGCAAAAAAAGTTTTTTTTTTCAAAGTAAGAATAATTTTTCGTATATGTTAAGTATACATAAAACAGCAGTTGTTTTTTTCGATATTTTTGTCAAAAATTTTGAAGCTCACTATCACAAAAAAAATATTAGAGAAAAGTGTGTGAGAAAAATAAATTAGAAAAATTATAATTACGTTGTTTGCAACCACGAAAAATTGATTTAAGAATTTAAACAAATTCTTAACTCCTGTTTTTTTTTTGCTATCCAAAACCAAGATAGACAGTATATTGATATGCAAAGGCCATTGATATCCAATTGATAAGGTTTTTAGGCTTGAATTAAGCTGCATATAGAAATTTCATTAAATTATGCTTACTCTCGAAAAAATGGTGCACAATATTTTCCTTTTTAGTTTAGTGTTGATGAAATGCATATATTCGGTCGTTCATTTGCCAATTATTTGTGCAAATATTTCAAGAAAATATATGTTTCAACGAAACATAAAACTTTTTAATTAGGATTTTTCCTACTTTAAATAAAATCGACTTAGTGACTTTTGTTTCATTTTTTGTGTCTGCTAGCTTTCAATGATATGTGTGTGTGGTATCGCAAGTGGTGCGAAGATCCGCTTCTTCACTTCTGTGCAGTATTAGTCAGACTTAAATAGATGTCGTAAAAATTTAACAGGAGGACCATTTGAGCGACTAAATTTCAAACACTAGCGAAAACACGACAAAGCGAAAACACGAGAAAAAGCAGTTCTAGAAAGTGCAATAAGAAAAATATAAAGAAGCCTCGAATTAGTAAAACTTCGGCTAGATCTAGGATTCGATCTTCGACCAACTGCAATCTAGATATTTTAAGTATCACGCACTAACCACTCAGCCACGCACTCTTAACCACCGACAAACACTAGTCACGAATGAAGCAGCTACATATGCATAAAACTGCCAATGTTATTCAACAAAAAGGGCACCTCTCATATTTTTCATGGAACTTCAATGCGGAAAATCACTGGGTGCATCTATATTATTCAAAAGGCAAAATTGTAGCTTTTGGCTATTTTTGTTTAAAGAGGTTTATATGTTTTGCGTACGAGAAACAAAGCAAAAATTGCTTTAAAATTTTTCAAAATTTGCTTTTTTTTGCCATAACAGAACAATAGTCATACAATTAGGGGTGGATCTAGAATTTTCTCGAGGAGGGTGGAATTTCAAAAAGTTTTCAGGGCAATCAAATTGATATTCCGAGCTTTCCTAATGCATTAAAAATGCCCTGTTTTGGCCAAAATTTCTGCACCGCAGGCAAATTTTTGAAAAAATCAGAAAAGCGTTTTGAGGCATTTTTTGGGAAATTTTGACTAATTTTGGCGCCCGCTTTCCCTTCAAAAACATTAGATATAGGCGCTTTTAGAAAATTGGATATCTCAAAATAAAATTAGACACAATTTTGCAAGTAATAACCGGGAATATAACAAACTGAAGGCATCCACACTAGCTTTGCATGTATCAAATTGGAAAGCCTAAAAGCACATTATGTATAAATTATGTATTTCAAAAAAATTCCCAGATATATTGTGCTAGAAATTTCTGAAATCGAGCTTTTATGATTGTTCTGTTGTTTGAAACAAATCGCTTTTTTCTGTTCATTTGATGAATTATAAATGCATCAACTGTGTTAATTTATTACTAGTCGAATGTCAAAGCACATGTTATCACAAAGCAATAAAGGTGCCCCAATATTTGCGACTTAGGTTAGAAAACAGAAGGTTCGTAATAATATACTAATCTGATGCGAGTGTAATTAAAATATTTTACTATTCGACTTCATTAAGCTAATCTGGGTACTTTAATTCGTCCGGAACGTTATAGAAGTCTCTCGGTTGTTTTGGGCATGGATTGAGAACCTACCAAAGCAAACAAATGATTTTTGACTGGTTCAATGCATGCAGTGTAAATTGTTTTAAGTTAAAAATTTATGAAAACTTTACTTTTAGAGGCGCTCTTGCGTTCGAACTTGTATCCCTAACTATAACGTATTCTTCTGAAGCCGGAATTCTATTTAGAAAAAACTATTGCCCCTCTGTTGCAAATCTAAAAAAAGTATATCTTTAATCGACATTGAGCGGGTCTCAGAACTTCCCGTCGTGTGCGACACAATCAGGTTTGAGAAGAGGGAGGCGCGGTCGCTGTAAATTGAATGCCAATTCGATGTCAGGAAACCGATTCGTTTATCAGAACACAGATCCGCACTTTAATTCAACGACATGTTTAAATTTGTATTTATTTTAAGTTGTTATTTAATCTAGTACCCAAATACGAACTAATGATAATAAAGTCTAAACAAATGAAATGGTTCAAAAAATCAGGCCAATTTCTAAAAATTATTGAACGAATATTTATCCAACTCAAAAAAGTGTTCTAAATGAAAAAAAAATAGCTGGTCAAAGCCAGCAAATTTCTATGCCTTAAGTTTGAAGAGATTCAGATTCAACTAAAAAAAAAATAACGAAAAACTTCGGTAAAACTCGGAAACTGTATCTCAATTTTAAAATAGAAACAGTTCCGTTCATGTTTCCTTAGAAACCAGATTAATTACAATATACGATTTGGGCTAATTCGGAACTTTTGCTTGAAACGGGGAGACATAATTTAATGCTCAAAATATTAATTTACCCGTATTTGCACATGCCTTTCGGAGTTTCATTACCAGCTCGTTTCATCACAGATTGGATTTTTAATTCCTTTAATCCGGGGCTGGCTTTCAAGTAGAAAACGTTGAGAAATTCAAATTAGGATTTAATTAGTCAAAGCTGTTATCCAATTGAAGTAGCTTTTCCCAAAATCTCCGGCTCTCAACCCAGCCGCCCAGCTCTTTAACTTCAATTGTTCCTCCTTAGTCCGGCCAATCTTCCTGTTCCAGTGAAGTTTTCACAGTCAATTCTGATTGGTCAATAGCCCGGGCTGGGATATATCCAATAAGTCTGCAAATTAGCCAAACACTTGGATCAGTTTCCCTCTGCTGGCAAAACTTCACCAAATTCAATCATAACTTGACAAAATTCTCAAAACAAACCCATCTCATCAATTTGATTATTTTATAATCTCAAATCAACTTCTGCACAAAATATTCTGAAAAATACAAATACTTTGCTGTTTTATAAAAACCATTTTAAAATATAAGTTGATAACCTCTCTTTAAATTTTCTAGATTTCGACCGAATCGATTTGAACAATTTCTTAAAACTCAACAGAACTTCAGTTATTGACGATAGCCACAACGAAATGCAGACACAAGCTTACGCCGGAGCAGTGGGTGCGAACCCAGCCGCCTTTGCCGGAATGATGCCGGCAGCCGCTTACTACGACCAGGGCGCATTCTACCGCCAGGCAGCCGCCGCCCAATACAACATGATGGCCGGAAATCCGATGGCAATGTACCCGACAACCGCAGACTTGTACTCGGGAACTGCAGCAATGCGAGGATACCCCGGATACCCCAGTCCGTTTCCACACGAGAACCCGAAAGATATGGTGAAGCCTCCGTATTCCTACATCGCCCTGATTGCTATGTCAATTATGGCCTCCAAGGATAAAAAAGCCACTCTTAGTTCGATCTATCAATTCATAATGGACCGGTTTCCTTATTACAGGCACAACAAACAAGGTTGGCAAAACAGTATCAGACATAATTTGAGTCTAAACGACTGCTTTATAAAAGTGGCGAGAGACGACAAGAAGCCAGGAAAGGGCTCGTATTGGACTCTGGATCCTGAGTCTTACAATATGTTTGACAACGGAAGCTATCTGAGACGCCGAAAGCGGTTCAAGAAAATTAAAGAAGAAGGTAAATTTTCGGTTGCGCAGGGTCAAAACTCCCCAAATGCGAAGTCGATTAAACAAGAAATAACGAGTTCACCGCACAACTCTCTCTCGGAGAACAACAAAGCCAGCTCCGAAATATCACCGACGTTTTCGCAACATCAAGTCGAAAATAACAACATCAATAATGGAAACTTCACAAATACCTCGATCGCTCAAACCTCAATGTCAGGCAAAGAAATCTCAATTCCATCAAACGGTTCAGCAAACTTGGCTCTCAGCCAAATTTCACCTCTCGATGTCAACATGTTTAATGATAAGACATTCACGCAGCAAATGAACTTCAACGAAAACGAAAGTTTCAATGTTCTGCTTGGGTCTGATTTGCACGGAGCCACTGGGTACTTTAATTCGTCCGGAACGTTATAGAAGTCTCTCGGTTGTTTTGGGCATGGATTGAGAACCTACCAAAGCAAACAAATGATTTTTGACTGGTTCAATGCATGCAGTGTAAATTGTTTTAAGTTAAAAATTTATGAAAACTTTACTTTTAGAGGCGCTCTTGCGTTCGAACTTGTATCCCTAACTATAACGTATTCTTCTGAAGCCGGAATTCTATTTAGAAAAAACTATTGCCCCTCTGTTGCAAATCTAAAAAAAGTATATCTTTAATCGACATTGAGCGGGTCTCAGAACTTCCCGTCGTGTGCGACACAATCAGGTTTGAGAAGAGGGAGGCGCGGTCGCTGTAAATTGAATGCCAATTCGATGTCAGGAAACCGATTCGTTTATCAGAACACAGATCCGCACTTTAATTCAACGACATGTTTAAATTTGTATTTATTTTAAGTTGTTATTTAATCTAGTACCCAAATACGAACTAATGATAATAAAGTCTAAACAAATGAAATGGTTCAAAAAATCAGGCCAATTTCTAAAAATTATTGAACGAATATTTATCCAACTCAAAAAAGTGTTCTAAATGAAAAAAAAATAGCTGGTCAAAGCCAGCAAATTTCTATGCCTTAAGTTTGAAGAGATTCAGATTCAACTAAAAAAAAAATAACGAAAAACTTCGGTAAAACTCGGAAACTGTATCTCAATTTTAAAATAGAAACAGTTCCGTTCATGTTTCCTTAGAAACCAGATTAATTACAATATACGATTTGGGCTAATTCGGAACTTTTGCTTGAAACGGGGAGACATAATTTAATGCTCAAAATATTAATTTACCCGTATTTGCACATGCCTTTCGGAGTTTCATTACCAGCTCGTTTCATCACAGATTGGATTTTTAATTCCTTTAATCCGGGGCTGGCTTTCAAGTAGAAAACGTTGAGAAATTCAAATTAGGATTTAATTAGTCAAAGCTGTTATCCAATTGAAGTAGCTTTTCCCAAAATCTCCGGCTCTCAACCCAGCCGCCCAGCTCTTTAACTTCAATTGTTCCTCCTTAGTCCGGCCAATCTTCCTGTTCCAGTGAAGTTTTCACAGTCAATTCTGATTGGTCAATAGCCCGGGCTGGGATATATCCAATAAGTCTGCAAATTAGCCAAACACTTGGATCAGTTTCCCTCTGCTGGCAAAACTTCACCAAATTCAATCATAACTTGACAAAATTCTCAAAACAAACCCATCTCATCAATTTGATTATTTTATAATCTCAAATCAACTTCTGCACAAAATATTCTGAAAAATACAAATACTTTGCTGTTTTATAAAAACCATTTTAAAATATAAGTTGATAACCTCTCTTTAAATTTTCTAGATTTCGACCGAATCGATTTGAACAATTTCTTAAAACTCAACAGAACTTCAGTTATTGACGATAGCCACAACGAAATGCAGACACAAGCTTACGCCGGAGCAGTGGGTGCGAACCCAGCCGCCTTTGCCGGAATGATGCCGGCAGCCGCTTACTACGACCAGGGCGCATTCTACCGCCAGGCAGCCGCCGCCCAATACAACATGATGGCCGGAAATCCGATGGCAATGTACCCGACAACCGCAGACTTGTACTCGGGAACTGCAGCAATGCGAGGATACCCCGGATACCCCAGTCCGTTTCCACACGAGAACCCGAAAGATATGGTGAAGCCTCCGTATTCCTACATCGCCCTGATTGCTATGTCAATTATGGCCTCCAAGGATAAAAAAGCCACTCTTAGTTCGATCTATCAATTCATAATGGACCGGTTTCCTTATTACAGGCACAACAAACAAGGTTGGCAAAACAGTATCAGACATAATTTGAGTCTAAACGACTGCTTTATAAAAGTGGCGAGAGACGACAAGAAGCCAGGAAAGGGCTCGTATTGGACTCTGGATCCTGAGTCTTACAATATGTTTGACAACGGAAGCTATCTGAGACGCCGAAAGCGGTTCAAGAAAATTAAAGAAGAAGGTAAATTTTCGGTTGCGCAGGGTCAAAACTCCCCAAATGCGAAGTCGATTAAACAAGAAATAACGAGTTCACCGCACAACTCTCTCTCGGAGAACAACAAAGCCAGCTCCGAAATATCACCGACGTTTTCGCAACATCAAGTCGAAAATAACAACATCAATAATGGAAACTTCACAAATACCTCGATCGCTCAAACCTCAATGTCAGGCAAAGAAATCTCAATTCCATCAAACGGTTCAGCAAACTTGGCTCTCAGCCAAATTTCACCTCTCGATGTCAACATGTTTAATGATAAGACATTCACGCAGCAAATGAACTTCAACGAAAACGAAAGTTTCAATGTTCTGCTTGGGTCTGATTTGCACGGAGCCACTACAAGTAATTTCATGAGAACAGTAAACTGTGAATCGCCAGGTAATATTTCGTCCCAATTTGCTGTCTCGGCCGCGGCTCCCTACGGGTCAACGATGGCTCCGAACTTGCACTCTTCAGCAGTCGCTGCAGTTGCTGCGAATAACGTCCTCGATATGTCGAAGTACTACTATACAAGTGCCGCCGCTTATTGCAATCTGAAGCCTGAACAACTAGCTTCGAACATGCTCACTCATTCGTTCACGTCCAACGCCATTTCGGCTGCAGCCGGTAACCAAATAATCGGATCAGGAGGCAATCCAAACGGGATTCCATCTTCGGGAATTAGCAACCAGCATAGTAGCTTCTCAACTGTAAATCAGCACTCCCAGATAAATTCCCAGCCAAGTTTGAGCTACGACTATTCCAAATTCATCTTTTGACCAGATCAAACTTTGAGATAAAGTTCAATGTATTGATGTTCAAATTCCAAGAACTGAAGGCGACGAAAAAGTATCTAGGGAAACAGGGATAAGAAAAAGTGACCTTTACAGAGAACTTATTTTTGAACTGCTTTTAAGTGATTCCTTCTTAAATTTTATATACTTTGATGTTCATAATTAATTTAGCGTTATTCTGTTTTTTAAATAAATGTTTTTCAAAAAAAAATGTCCTTTTTAAATAACGAGAAAGACAAAATCTATTTTAAGCTAAAGTGGATGCCCTAGTCAAAAGAACTCTGAAGCGCTGGTTGTCCGAACAACTTTATAGGTGATCTTTAGGCCATTATTTTGATTTTGCCTGTTTTTTAAACCGAACAAAAGTCTATTTTTATTTGCTTTGATTTTTCAGAGTAAGGAATTTTAAACAAATCTATAATGCGGTAGATTTTTTATCGGGAAACAGATATTTATATCCCCAAAGCTATTTTGATTTTCAGGGTGTTGCGTCTTTTAAGATTGGAGGTGAAAATTTTTTGAAAATCAGATCTGCGACGGACTTTTGAAAAGAGCCATTAAAAATCATTTTTATGCTGATGAGTTTTGGCACAATACTCCGTTTTCAGTTTATACCTGAGCTAGAAATATTTTGAAGATCTGACTTTGGCGCAGGCCAAAGACTTATGAAAAGAGTAAATTTATTTAGAGAACTGGTTACTTGCTAAACGTTACTGAATTTCTCAATTTCAATCTACTAAACTCTTTCTGAAATCATTACGAAATTTTAGCCAAAATATTTTTCTAACTGCATTAGTTTTTGACCGGCAACCCATGTTTCCAGCGCTTACTTTCCTCTTGATTGGAGAATGTCACCGGTGATTTTTTGTCAAAGAACTCAAAAAAAATTTAGTATAAAAATGAATTGAGCCACAAAATATGGTAGTTACTAGGTACCATAGGGGGAAATAGTTACAGAGATTCTTAAGACCTCACCACACTATCACTTCACTGGCGATGAATGCCCCCCCCCCCCCCCCTTTCATGTATTTTTTAGTAAAAAATACCGGATGCTTGGATTCAACGAAATACCCGACAAAACGAAGATATTGCACAAAAAACATGACTTACATAAGAAAAATTGCAGTATCAAGTTTAGACAAGCGCTGCTTGTGTATAGAGCAAGGATCTTGAATTGTTCTAATTTCGGGAATTTTATAAAGATTTTTTCGTTTGTGTTTTCTTGTCTTTTTGGGAAGGGGGACGGAAAATTTTAATTTTCTGAATTAGTTACTTGAAGCAACACACTAACATTTGAGTTAAATATACTATCATTTGAGTAGTAATTCATCCACTAGTTTTAAGTAAGACATTATTAAATCGTTATTGAACACATCTTTAACATTCGAAACCTGTGTTAGTGTTACTTGATTTTGCGTGAGGAAAAAAAGGCCGAATACTAAATTATTTCTCAACTTAGCTTATCTGAACAAAAACTACATTTTAAGGAACAAAAGACCAAAAATGGCGCACATTAAATTCATTCGGAACATACATTGAAGGGATTCGACCACCCTGCCTACCCAAAGGTCCACTTTTGGTACTTTGTATGAAATCTTTTTTTGGCTGACAGACCTCACATCTTTTCTAAGGGCGCCTTTGGCGCCAGTATATACAATTTTTAGGGGGAGAGCGCGTCAAATAAGGCAATTTTATGGCCAAAATTTTTCAAAAAAAGGCCCAAAACGGCTTTTTTGACATTTTTTCTTACAGTTTGCCTACGGCGCGAAAAATTTGTCAAAATAGGGAGTTTATAGGTTACTGGGAGCGCTCGGAAACTCAATATGGCCGACTTAAAACCCCCTCGCAAAAATCCTACATCCGACCTTGAGTATTAGTATAAAAAGATTACTCTTTCGGTACAAAATTGACAACCTTGTACCTGAATTCTTTATTTTTTGAAAGAAATTGTCTAGATAGGATTTCGGCATTGATTTTTGTTAGTTAATAACAAATTAAAATTATTGCACAGAAGTGAAGCTGCCCTTCACAAACACTTGCGAGAACAAGACAAAAAGCAGCTCTATAAAGTTCACAAGGAAAAAGTATAAATCAGCCTCGAAGTAGTAAAAATTGGACTACGTCGGGGATTCGAACCTACGACCGACTGCGACCTTGAGAATGTGCGTCTCACGCACTAACCACTCAGCCTTCGGCGCTTATTTAATGATGCACACTAGTCACAAATCAAGCAGAGAACAGATGCTTTGCAATTTCCAATGCAACAGTGAAACTTTCATAGAAGTGAACACTTTCAATGAATATTTTTTATTTGCAAATAAGAGTAGAAAAAAAAGAAGGTTCGTACTATTACTCTTACGCTCGCAAGCTTGCTAGTGTGATCATTAATTTGAAACGCCAATCGATCCCTTCGCATGGCAATGATAGATTTTTAGGACGAGCACGCACTTGACTTATAGCTTCACGTCTACCATAACGTAACTGCAATAGCGATACCGCGTGAAACTTCTGGACAAAAAAGTCCTTGAGATGCGAAAAGATGAGCTTCACTCAACTTAAAAACTGAGCAGAATATTTGGGAAATTAAGAGCAACAGATTAGCTTTAGACATGCTGGAAAAATCTTTCTTGTACAAGACTTAAGTAAGCAATTCACGTTTTATTTAAAATATTTTATTTTAGTGATAGACTTCGACCCTATGAATATCAGAGACCAAAAGTAAACTTATTTTTAGACCAGCCATTGATGTTTTGATTTTTAGTGTTTGGGCTGGGCAATTTGTTCTCCTTTCATAATATGAATTGTCCGATTACATCAAACAATCCGTTGTTCACACGCGAAAACAGTCCCCACTCTGAAAACATCTTTTTTGTGAGTGGGAAGTGTATGAAAATATTGAGCTATCCAATTTCTAATCCAATTATTGCTTTCACTAACAACAGCTCGAGTCTGTTATGCTCATGTAGGTATTACACCAAAACTGTGCCGGTCTGTAATTTGTGTTTTCATATTAGTTGATTAGTTCTGTTTTGAGGCGCACAGGTGGAATAAACCAACAAGTCAACTTATTAAATTGTTGTCTCTCAAAACTTCTCTACAAGCACAACGGGTGATCGGGAACCCTTATTCAATCTCTATCTAACTTAAGTGTGTAATCTAACTCCCGCAGACTTGTTGTGCGCAGCGTTGAAAGAATAAATCTAAATTGGATCATATCTTTTGTCTCAGATTACCTCACCTGCTTCGCCTCTTGGTGAAAAGGTGCGAGGTTTTTGCCAGCCGTTTCGTCAAAGATTATCTCCAGCAGCAGATCAAAAGATTTAGGCGTTAATAGGCGATCATTGAATTATCGTTTTCGACTTTGTTCAAAGAGGAAGTGTTAATCTGAAAGTGATATTACTCTACTATTTCCTAATTCAGACATGCCACCATCTTATTTCAAACGAGTCTTCTTTGAGATAGCCTAATTCCCACCAAAGTGACTTCTAGCCTCCCTTAATGTGCCCTAAGCCAAATTTCACCCTTTTTAAGCCATTAGCCCCATTCTACTAACCCCCTCCATGCTGTACGAGTATATCTCAAACATACAGCAGCAGCAGCAGCAGCAAAGATCAATAGATACTCACTCGAGCATTAATACCAGGCTTGAAACGCCATTCAAAGAAAAGATCAAAATTCGCTAATGAATGACCAATATCACTAAGCCTAAAACTGAATCGTTGACTTCAATCGGCTAAACGCAACTTCGGTTAAAGTTTGAGGAAGAAAAGGAATAAATTTCTCCACATCCAAATGTCAAATATACAATTTAAGTATTTACACACAACCGCCAATACAAGTCGAAAAATGAATGTTACAATTTTGAACCAAAAGTGAAAATAAAACAGGAATTTCTCCTAACTTGTATCAATTTTAAAATTTGAAAGTCCTCCGAAGTTTAATCATAATACTGATATATTTGATCTTGATTTCAATTCAAGGGTGATCATGTTCGAAGATGGTTTCTGGTTCGCAAAAGTTAGTTCTTTGACATCAACTCAATATCGGATTTGACCATTTCTTCTGCAATTTCCTGAAACATTCAAAGCATTTCTTTCTTTTCAAAATCAGTCACATGTTTTATGACCAACCACCCAGCAACCCTTTTACTTCTTTCATACTGCTGTTAATTTTGAAGATAGGAAATGGTTTTTGAAGAGCCAACTCCAATTTGCAGGAACAATGACTAAACAAAAACTTTCACAGTTAAATCGAAAAATTAACTTCTCAAAATCACTTTTTTGCTAATGACAAGAGAAAATCCCGCCCTCAAGTTTCTAGAAATTATTCACTGCTGTTTTAATACTCATTATAGACTATTGAAGCTATTCTAGCTGTTGTCTTACGTCGATAGTTCTCTTGGGTTCCCATCCCAACAGCTCCTTGGCCTTCGATGGATCTCCGAGCAGAGTTTCCTAAACACAACAAACGTGCCATCAAAATCCATTCTACACAAATCAAATCTTGATATTATAGCACCAGTCTCAAAAATCGGCCTTTGTAATACGACCGTCTTTTAAGCCATATCTCCTAACGGTAGCTTCAAAAAATGGACTCATTGGCCCTGAATAGCTTTGAACTAAAATACTGTTCCTGCTTGAGCAGTGTTGTTGCTACGTCAAAAGTATACAAATTGGATTGTAATTAGATTATGGATCCGCTATGCCAATGTTGTGGTAAAGGGTGAATGTGTTTTAATAGCTCCTTGGTGGCATAGATCTAGCGTACAAGATTGTAACGATGATATATATCGCGACTGAGTGATACGATCCGCTTATTTTGTTAGCATTTATTAACACCTAATCCCCTATGCTGCGCTGACATGAGCAAAGGTAAATTAGTATTGTCAACATTGCAAAATCATCAGGACGGTTATAACAGGCAAAATTAACAAAGGATTAAGTGGCGTTTTTGGGGATTACCGATTCCACTTTTATTACTCCCTCACGTAGCTATGTCTCTCTGGCGCAACAACCGGCGCTTATTATAATCAATTCATTATTAAGTCGCAAAGTGAATCCAAAGATTTTATGGTCCCAAAATTCCTCCTTTTTCCACTCACATGGCGTCAATATCCCCGTCAATACAAAATATTCAATGCAAATCTTGAACAATGTCCTCTCGGGTTCAGCTCAATGTCTACTTAATAATCCCCATACACGAGTCCTCTTTTCAGAGGGTTGAAGCGGGGTGGGTTGCTTAATTATTGACCACCGGGGGCGGTTGATTTCGAAAGAGGGGAGGGTATGATCTTCAGGCGGCTCTAGTTTAAACTGATTACTTTCAAATCATCTGGTCCTGTTTTGGCAAATCTGGCCAAATCCAAACTCTCGCTTACAAATGATATGTTTGGAGAGCCAACAGTTAAAGAGCTAAAAATGAGAAATATTGCCGGCTAAATAAAATAGATCAAAATTGGGAAGTTACCAAGCAAGGATCATGACAATTTAAGCAATACTCAATCTAATAAATACATCTGCTCCTTGTTCGGGCTAAACATGTTAAAATGAGCTGTGCCCAATTATACTACTCCACAAAGTTACCTCTCGTATTACCTTTGATTATTACAGCGGAAGTTGCCGCCCCCGAATTAAACACCTTGTTTGGGAAACAAAGACAAAACTATAAATCAAACAGTTAACCTGCCCACCGCTCATAACACACGCATGTTGGTACTCGCTTGGCCCTAACTGGCTGACTAATCAAAACATCAGATGTAATATACCTGTTGTGATATGTAATAACAGAAGCTAGTTAGAGACAACGGACACTTTAATTTATGATTCATTTGCTAATTTATGGCCAAGCAGAGCCCATAGTTTTTGGATGGTTGCAAATAAATCTTTCCGGAGTGACATAATAACCTAAATTCTCAGATTATCAGGGTCAAATATCCGATTAACACGAATAACAAGGCGTAACATTTATGTTGCATTAATCTTTTTTAAATTGATTCTTCATTCCATTTAAGGAGAAAACTTCAAAACGGACAGAAATTTTCATCAAAAAGAAAAGCTCAAAAACAGAGCTTTACAGGAGCATCTGAAGTCCATCTAATTTGAACACGGTTATATTACCGAGCCAATTCCACCAAAAAAAATGATATGAAAATTTGCTTCTGGTTTCGATCTAGCGTTGATTTAGATTTTTTTTATGGGCGGCAAACAACAACCGATTGCTCTTGGCTGAGACGACAGATCGTCTTTTCAGGCCAAGAGCAACTCTGCTCTCGTTTTAATGATTTTGAAGTCGCCAATATGGGTGTCTCTACTCTTAAAACTACAACTTAACAAGTCTTTTCCACTCGAGTAACCAATGAAGCCATTAAGCGAAACAAAAACAGGAGGAGAAACCTCCGCGACTCAAGCGGGTAGCCTCACTTAATAAAAAGGGGGAGTGTGGGGCGATGTAAAAACAAATTAGCAGTGTTCGCCGCCTTCCAGTTGGAGGAGACAGCAGGTTATAGAACGTGTGGCGATATTTGATTTCATAATTGGCCACGTTGCTAAATTGTGTGTTTAAATAGGAGCACGAGTGTCTATTTGTATTTACGCGATGCGATATATCCGTTAAAAATTCGCCCCCGGCCCCGTGTCTTGTTAGTGTTTGTCGACGCCATTTTGTTCTAATAGCAGTTAAGCGCAACAAACAATGCCTCAGACTATTTGCTGGCATATTTAACTGTCGTTGCTGTTAAGTGCCGTTCCCGTTTTAAAGATCAACGGTGCCAGCCCCACGGCACAATGTCGCTACTAGACGCTGCCGGCTAGAAAAGCTGGTAAGTCGAGGCAGCAGTGTCGCCAGAAAACGCCAACACCACAAACTTAGCAACAGATTGCTGGCACCTCAGCACCCAACTTGGCCCAAGTCGGCTACACTTGTAAGGGCGGCACAGCAGACAACTGCTCTCAAAACAAACTATGCCCCCCAGCGACCCACGGGAAGGAATCAACTGCAAATTTATCCCCTCCTGCCTCGGAATCAACAGAAACGAAGACCTCAAAATCACACTACAAAAGGGGGGTTGGGTTCAATTTGTGGCTCTGGCTGAGATTCCCTTGAAGGTGCAATTTCTTCAACTCAAATGACAAATCGATGATTTTACATTTTGACTAAGTGACATGTTTTAACAGTGTTCCTATCATCACAAATTTGACTTCCCAACATCTGTCAATAATCGAATTGGACTAAGCGAAAGAATACAACTAAGAAAACTTTGTATATTTATTCTCAAAATTCGCACCCGCTAAATTAGCTTTCAAATAGAAAGATTTGATTTAGTTATATTTTTAGGAAATTTTTACCTTGGGGCACAAATCAGGAAAAAAATCAACATCTTGTTTAAATGATGTTGACGTTTGGAACAACCTTATTTGTTCATACAAAAAATCGTCTAAATAACAACCCTGGCTTTTATATAACTTCAAAGAATTCACTCTTAAGGCTAATTTTCCAGGCAAATATGCCTTATTTGAGAAAATTATGAAATAAAACGTTCTCATTAACCTGAAAAACTGACACTTTCCTATTTTTTTAAGGTTTAGATCGTATTCTGAAAAGTGAAGACTGAGATGAATTAACCACAGTAACTAAAATTAGCATAGTATTAAAACTAACCATGACAACTTACAGCTAAGAGTGACAACTATTAGTTGTTATTTTTGTCGTACGTGAATCAAAAATAAGGTTAAAAATGGTCGGTGATTATAGTAATTTTGTTGTTAATCGGGTTGAAACTACAAAAAACTGAATTTAAAAAAATGAGTAATCATTTTACCTCGTCGCTACTTTTCCACCCTCAAGGCGGATTCACTTTCAAAATCGAACCATATTTTTCAAAGTTTGTAAGCACTTAGCAGGACACCGCATAACACATGTGGAGATTGTTCTTACAAATTAATTCAAAGTGTACGCATTCTTAGCGGGGAATTAAGGAGGTATTAAGTAACTATTAATTCCCGCTAATATTGCCCGAAAGGGTCAACAATACGCAGTCAGGTAGCAAGCCATACCTCTGGTCATAAATTTTTCAATCACAGCGCCCACAAAAAAGTCTATGAAAACGTGCCTGTAGAATTTTGTTTGGCCAGTTTATCGGTTGACTATCAATGTGCTTTTACCGACCCTAATTGTTGACTCTCATATAAACTCAACTCATTTTAAAGGTAAAAATGGGATTTCTTAAGTGATCTTTCCTTGAGAATGAAGAAAAAAAATCAGCTCTTCCTTCTTCAAAATAGCCTGCGCACATCACCAAATTAAATCAGATTGAAGTAAAAGGTTAATTCAGATTTTAAAAATTTGGATTGGACTAACTTTTTATTACCCTGGGGGCTCAACATTGGAAAGAGTCAAAGTTTCTCAACCAGTTAAATAATTTAAACAGTTGCGTGCACGTCTTAATCTTGGAATTGACAGCAGTTCTTCCACGAGAGCTTAACTTTTCTACTCACAACTTCGGCCGGTCTGAAATATCTGGGATCAACTGTGACCCTGACTGCACCAGTGGCCTCATCATAGCCAACCTCATCCAGCCCCTCCCCTCTCCACCTAAAACACAACCGCAAAATATGAGTCATGAAAGCAGAACAGAAACAACAACCTGTACTTCTTTACGTTTGATAAATACAAAACATAATTTGAGCGCAGAATAACGTCAAAATAATAATTTTCGTAAAAGGTCAAAATAGCTCTATACTTTAAACACACAAAACACTAATTTGAGAGAATTGTAGCCAACCGACTGCCGGAAAAGCGTGAATGAAATCAACGAATTTGATAAGTATAATCAAAGAAAAGTTCACATTTCGAAATTCAAAGAAAAAAATAAGGCCTTAAGCTCAAGTTTCTAGAACAATGAATTATCGACATTTTTTGATAAAAATAACCCAATTCGAGAAAACTGGATTTTTAGGTCGATCACGTTTTTCTTAACTTTACACTTTTGCTGTTTGATAGCCGATTTTCCTTCATTTTAACAAGGAAAATGGACTCAACTCAAAAACAAATAAAAAATAAAAATCATATTTAAGCGTAAAGACTTCTTCCTGAAAGAAAAACCAAGATAAAAATCACCAAGAACCGTAGAAAAGTCTTCAACACGTACATTGCCAATTTAAAACACATCAGTTCACAGTTATTTGAAATTCAAACATAGCCAACAAACAATTGGAGAAGATCAACGAACGCAATGAAACAGAAAAGTAATACCTAGTTTTTTTTAAAACAACTTCAGCTTTCGAAGAAAAAATTATGGTCTTAAAGTTCTTTGTTTTCAAGAACAATTTATGATTGACACTTTTTGATGAAATCAACTCAATTTGAGAAAACTGGATCAATAGAAACATTTTTTAATCCGCTGGAAAATCTGAAAAATGAAACCTACTTTCGAAAAAAGAAGTCTATAATTCTTTCCGTGACTTTTACAATTTTGGTGTTCGATAGTGGAGTTTTCCTTCATTTTTCAAAGGAAATGAGCTGAACTTAGAAAAGAGTCAAACCGCGAACAAACAAAAACTAAGCGTGAAAAATTAGAACTTTTAAAACAAAAGCACAAGACCTATATCAGAGTATTCGCTACCTTTATATCTCTTTACCCTTGCGATAAGCAATAGTATTGCAATCGGGTACTCAATTATTTCCCGACCTCTCTCAAATCTCAGTTTTTGATTTTAATGAACAACGATATTGAAAAACTCCCCCGCATGAGCGGCTACGCCCAAATTTTAACACGAAGTTCTGGCCCTCTAAATAGTCAAATTTTTGATTTTTGTTTTTGGCCACTCAAAGTTTTTTACAACAAAAAATATCGCCCTAGAAAAACTTTTGATTATTTGACCGTTTTTTTGAAAGTTTTTGACTTTTCTGGAGAAGTACCCTCCCAAACTTGGAACTTAGGGTTCAATCAAAATGACAGGTTGCGTGAATCCCGTCTGCATAAGCGGCTACGCCCTATTTTGTCTTACAAAAAGACATTCTCGGAAATGTCAAATTTTTTGATTTGTTGAGAGTTTTTTTCGGACTTTTCTCACTAACTATCCTGCCAAATATGATATCATAGCTTAAGTCGAAACAACAGGTTACTGAAATCCTACTTTTATAATTGGGTTGCCTATTTTTTTTAAAATTATGGCCTTCAAACAAGTCATAATTTTAAAACTTTGACCGTATTTTTGAAACTTTTTTACTTCAATCGATAAAACCGGTTTTGGGATTCTTTTATACTTTAGCGGCCATGATCTGATTTTTGCAAAAAATAAGAGATTTCCGGAAGTCAAGTTTTTGAATTTTTGATGACCGTTTCTTAGAAAATTTTTGAATTTCATAAAAAAAACCATATAAAATCTGAGATGATAAGTTCATGAAAAAACCGTTTGCGAGATTTTTTTCTGCAGTAGCGGCGACTCCTTAAACTTTTGTAAGTGGTTTGTTTTGTTCTTGCGAAAGTAGATTATCTCCAAGTTTTTTTTACTCTTTTCTAGAGAAATAAGGTTTTGGACACTTTCCGTGCCAATTGTGTTGTATCGCAAGTGGTGCGCAGCTCCGCTTTGCTTCTGTGTATCATCTTAAAATTTTAACACTTGGAAAAAAGACAACAGACAGTTGAAAAAACTTCATGAACGCACGGAAATAGAAAGAAACAGTGACTTGTTTTGTGAAAAAAAAAAAACGTTACACTTCAAAATTAAAGGAAAAAAATGTATAGTTTTAAAGCTCTTTGAGTTTATAGAACAGTATATCACCAAAAAAAATTTTTGATGAAGATAACCCAATTTGAAAAAATGGATTATTAGGTTAAGTTTTTATTCCGCTGAGAAGTCTGAAAAATAAATTCCATTTCTAAAATTAGAAGTCGATCACGTTCTTCCTGCACTTTACCTTTTGCTGTTTCATAGCCAATTTTCCTTAATTTTAACAAGATAAATGAGCTAAACTTAAAAAGAAATTAAAATTCAAACAGCGAAGTATCATATTTAAGATTCAAAAAATTCCTGAAAGAAAAAAGAAAATCAACAAGAACCCTACAAAGTCTTCAACACGTTCATTGCCACTTTAAAACACATTGGTTCAAAGCTATTTGAATTACAAACATAGCCAACAGACAGTTGGAGAAGAGCAATGAACGCAAGAATCAAAAGTGACGACTAGTTTTTGAAAAAACTTTAAATTTCGAAGAAAAACATACATATAGCCTATAAGATCTTTAATTTCAAGAACAATTTATAGTTGACACTTTTTGATAAGGATAAATAAATTTGAGAAAAATGGGTCAATAGGTAAAGTCTTTATTCCGCTGGGAAACCTGGAAAAAGAAACAACCTGGAAAATAAAAGATGATAATTTTTTCGTGCCTTTTAGATTTTTGTTGTTCGATTGTGGAGTTTGCCTTCATTTTTCAATTTTATCACGGCCTAAAAAAGTATATGGCGTTCATTGACTCTTAAAAATCACCAAGACTTACGTTCATGGCCCTTAAAAACTAATATCCCATTAGAAAAAAACTGGTTCAATAGGTCGTTTTTATTTTGTTGAGAAATCTAGAAATGAAAATCCACTTTCAGATCTGAACATCAATCAAGTTTGTTTTCACTTTATTCACAATATCGTTATTGGATCGCAAAAACTGCCTTCAATTCAGCAATTAAGTTTAAATTGAACTTTAAAATTAAAAGTCACGAAAAATCAAATATGAACGTGAACAAAACGAACACAAAACTCAACGCAACCTAAATAAGTGTATTCACTTCTTATTATTGACACTTTAAATTAAGGAAAGTTTAAATGTTGACACTTTACAAAACAATAACTGCATTAATTTTTCAATAAGTTTCTATTAACCGAAAATTACCAAAACTAAACTGGAAGGAGGTGAACTTGCAGTTAAGCCACTTGTTTACATGTAATCAATGAATTTGAAAAAGAACATGACAGACTAAAAATAGAGAAAAACGAAACAAGAAAGCAACTGACTAAATACCTTAATACGCGAAAACTTCATTCGTTCTCTGAAATTAAACAAACATAACCAACATACAGTTGGAAAAAAATGAAGGAACACAAGAAAAAAAATCTTACTGTTTTTTTAATTTAAGTTTCAGAGAAAAATAGATGCACTTAAAGCTCTTTAAATTTCTAAAAAATTTCTAGTATTTTCCGAAAAAAAACGAACCTAATTTGAGAAAACTGGAGCATTGAGTAAAATTTTATTTTGCTACGAAATCTGAAAAATAAATTCCGCTTTCGAACCTAGAAGTCGATCACGTTTTTTGTGACCTTTTAACTTTTGGTGTTCGAAAGTGTAGTTCGCCTTTCATTTACACAGAGGCGAAGCTGCGCTTCGCAAACACTTGCGAGAACACGACAAAAAAGCAGCTCTATCAAATGAAATAAGAAAAAGTAGAAAAAAGCCTCGAATTAGCAAAAACTCGGCTACGTGTAGGATTCGAATCTGCGCCCTACTGCAATCAAAAGATTTAGTCTCACCCATTATCCAATCAGCCACGCAACCTTAAAAACCGACAAACGCTACTCACGAATAAAGCAGCTACATGCGCTAATAAATTGCCTAATCTATTCAGCAAAAAAGGCACCACAAAAAGGCACCACATACGAACAGACACAATTTTGCAAGTAATAACTTGGAATATAACAAACTGAAGGAATCCACACTAACTTTGCATGTAACAAATCGGAAAAACGAAAGGCACATTATGTATCAATTATGAATTTCAAAAAAAAAATACGAGATATACTGAGTAAGAAAATTTGAAATCGAGTTTTCATTATTGTTACGTTGTTGGAAATTACTTTTTTGGTTCATTTGATGAATTAAAAAAAATGCATCAACAGTGGTAACTTATTACTATTTGAACGTCAAAGCACATGCTTTGAGAAAGTTGTAAATATGCTTCAAAAGTTGCGCCAACATTTGCGACTTAGGTTGGAAAAAAAGAAGGTTCGTACTAATACCCTCGCTTCGCAAGTGTAAACAAAGGAAATGAACTGAGCTTTGAAAAAAAAACTTTGAACTGAATTTAAAAAAACTTAAAATCAAACCGCTTAAAACAAAAAATCATCACGACCTATATAAAAGTCTGAACTACGTTTATCGACTCTTCATAAATTTTCATTATTTTCTCCTGAAAACAGGAAGCAAACAAATTTACCGTTGAAGTTGAATTCATGAATTTAAAAAGTATTGCAATCTGAGTTTTGACTATTTTAAAATATTGAAAAAAGCAAGTTGTTTTTTCACTTTCAAAACCATCATATCGAAACATCTTTTTTTTGAATTTTTTTTTACGATTGTCACTTTTAATCAAACTTAACAAATTTCAGAAGACGAGTCATTAAGTTTCATATACCAGTCATTTTCACTAATAAAAACATTTTTGACTAAAAAGTCTGTTGTTATGTTTTGCACTATTTCCACATTCACATCTGAGTGGAATTTCGCTATAAATTCGATTGAGTCCACATAAGCATTTTATTTGGAACTCACATGAGCTCATTACTTTTGATACAAATCATGAATTAAAAAAACAAGACCTAAATAAGACATCACGTTCATCTTGTTAGTGAAACACGACCTATGCGACGGCAAATTCACTTAATTTGTACAAACGTTTTCTTAAAACCGCACAAGCTAACCAAGTGTCACATTTTTGGCATCAACCGTACAATCTCTCCACCCCCCCCCCCCCCCTTAGATGTCTCCACTTTAGTTTAAAAAAGCGAATCAGTATTTTATAAGGAGCTGTAGCAAGTTAATTTTCCCGAGAACTTCGATTATCTCAACTATATTTTCAACCAACCACTTAACACGTTTACAGTTCAACCGAATGGCAGATTGAGTCAATCTTGAGCCAATCAAAGTCAAAACTGAGTTCACAGCCAGATATTTGCGGCTTGACATTTTCTCCCCGGTCCCCTTTGACTTGTGACTTATTTTGCTTTAAAATTTTTGCCCGCGAGCTATTTGCACAATTTAAATTGATAAACAGGCGCAGGTGTCTATTCAACTGTCAACGAAGACCGTCATACAGTCTGAAATGCTATTCACAGACTTCAAGAAGGAGATGCTCAGAATAATTTCATTCTGTTTTCAGCGCCTAATTTCGAAAAACAAATTAATTATGCGGAAAACAAGCATACACTTCCCATACTAAGTTTACCCAAGAAAGTCCAGATGCTAAACAAAAATATAGCTGACCATTCGCTGTACAGTCTTGTTTTTTCAGGCTTCTTCAGCTTGTTTTGTGTGAAAACTTCAACCCGTTTAGCTTTGAGTTCAACCTGTATTTTCACAGCTCAATTTTCTTTTTAAAGCCTGAATGGAACCCAGATTTATCCGTCGGATTCTAAAAGCAATGAAATCATGATCCATTTTCAAAAAATTCTGTCATCAAACTGAACACTTGAGAGCTGCGTTTGCAACCATGACCAGCCATTTTAAACTGGATGACTTTAATTGGTACTTCGAATTACAATTCAAACAACAATGACACGGAATGCCGCGCAAGTCTGCATTGAAAAAAAAAACAGGGGAGAAAACGTTTTTTGCTCGTTATGATCCAAAAAACACGTTAGTTGTTCAGCGCGCGCCGAAAAAACCAATGTTAAATAAATGTATGCTTGCGCCGAAAATTGTAGTCTTAAAAAAGTATACTCTGTCGCTGAAGAAGCTTATAGCAAACTTTCAGGGTTGATCGACCAAAAACACTTTTGGTTCTCAGCACCTGTACTCTGCCCACGCCCCTTTTTAGTTTGGACCTGCGCTTCTACCTGTACATATTATTTTGTCGTCTGTTTTCAAGAAGATCTACAAACCATTGACAGTAAGTGGAGCTCAAGTTTGATTGAACTGTGGAAGGATTCAACGGTGTTGAGTGTTGGCTGCTGCGTTTGAAATGTGAGCTGCACAAGTGTATCACTAGCAAAGATAATGAATTACGAATGTTTATTCTCAAAACACATTCACAACAATCTCTAAGCTCAGACTATTTTCTCCCTCCGATCCAGATTAGCAAATGCGTTAACTTGTCACTGAGGATCTATTTCTTTGGCGAGCAGGTATTTCTAGTTAAACCTACTTAAGTTGCAGCTTGGCCAGTTAAGCGCGGCTCACCGCTAGATTCCAATCCAGCCTGTCGCGGCAACCCTCCAATTTTGGTGTCACTTCAATTATCGTCGCTTCGCTTTCTGACACTTGATTAAGGACTTAACGCCGCTCTTGAAACTTCAAGACTTCCGGAGAATCGAATTTCAAACTAATCCAATTTGTACTTCTAGTTTCAATGATTTATGTCACGTAATGTTTCAGTACCACAGTACAGCAACTCTTTGGCGCTCAGTTTAGGACAAAGATCATGAAGCAGATGCTCACGAATTTATGACCCAGAAAAAATATTAGTGAAACAAACTTTAACCAAAAGGAAGCCCAAATTATTATCGCTACTAGTAAATCACTACTTAAATACTAGGTCTCTACTCTCTTGCTGATTTGTGTTTGTCGATGTATGTAAAGGGAATTTTACCCAGCCTAGAAAAATATTTAAAAATTAAAAATAGCCGATGAAATATCTGCAATTCTCCGTGCTGAGTCAACAATTCGTGTGTTGGTTCGTTCAATGCGGCATATAATCTTTAGTCTAGCTCTTCTGTCGCAAAAGTTGACGCCAAAGTCCTGTTCAACAAGCTTAAGAACTTAATACTCGTTTTCCTGAAGTGCTACATCCGATGATTCCGAACTCCAAGTGCTTCAACTTGGCGCCACTTTTATTGACATGATTTAAGAATTGACATGAAAAGAGACCTGCTTATCCAATGGCATAATTAACACAGCCAGCATACAATTGGAAAAGAGTACGCAGGTCAACAGAAAAACTTTTTGCAAAAAAAAGATGGCCTGAAAGCCCGTTGGATTGCAAAAACAATTTATGATTGACACTTTTTGCTAAAATTAACTGAATTTGAAAAAACTGGATTGATGGGTGAGTTTTTTTTTTAATTTCGCTGGGAAATCTGAAAATTACATTCCACATTCAAAACTAGAACTCGATCACGTTTTGTGTGACCTTTACACATTTGCTGTTCGATACTGGAGTTAACAAAGGAAATGGAAAAGAAATCATAAGTCAAACCGCGAAAAAAAAAAAAATTGAGCCTGACTTTGCCTGAAAAAAAAAACAAAAAAATCATCGCGACTTATATAAGAGTCTGAGCTATGTTGATTGACTCTTAACAAGAGTAGCCGGTTGCTGTACAACTAGCATAAAGTTCCGATCACAGTTACTTTTAAAAATTTACAACTTTACAACTTTTCATGTTTAGAACAATTTTTAGGCGCGTTATAGAGAGAGGACCTAGAGGAGAGCTTCGAACCTTATCATTGGCCTTAATTTACCAATTTTTTTTTTTACAAAAGGAACAAAAAAAAACTTTGTAAAAATTTCAAATTTTTTACATATTGCTTTTTGAACTTTTCAAATTTTGAAGGCCAGGGAAGCACTTTGAAACCAGATCAATCTTCAATAGCTAATCCTCCTTTGGTGAAACTCGGGAATCACCTCACTTTCAGTGGTCAGAACAAAAGCAACCGAAGACAAAATTCCTCCCCGCTTTTCAGTGGTCAGAACAAGAAATTCCTACAAAATAATCTCTTGCTGATTTCAGCTCGTCGCGGGAAAAGCAATTTTATTCAGCACAGCACTCAAATTGGTATCTTATTTCTAGTTCTATATTTGGGCGCTTCTTTTAGCGAAAAGTATAAGTTAACGACAAGTATAACAAGTATAAGTTAACGACAAGTATAAGAAAAGCAGCATTAAATAAGTGAAATGAGAACAGATAGAAAAAGCCTTAAACTTTGCTACGTATGCGCTTCGAACCTGCGACCTGGAGAATTGCAGTCCAATCACCTGCCCTCTCGGCCACGAACGCTTAACTACTGGCAAACACTAGTCACAAATAAAGCAGCTACATATGCTGACAAATTGCCAATGCAATGCAGCAAAAGTGGCACCAAATACAAATAGACAAAACTTAGCAAGTAATAGATTGGAACCTAACAAACTGAAGGCATCCACACTAATTATGCATTTAAAAAATTGGAAAGCATAAAGCCATATTATGCATAAATTATGCATTTCAAAAAAATTGCGAGATATATTGAGTTAGAAAATTTCTGAAAGCGAGTTTTTATTATTGTTATGTTGTTTGAAACAAATAGATTTTTTCGCTTCAATTGATGAATTAAAAATGCATCAACTATTTTCATTTATTACGATTCGAATGTCATCAAAAAGCCGTAAAAGTGGCACCAATATTTGCGACTTAGGTTAGAAAGAAAGAATAGTCGTAGTATAACACTAACGCTCACTAAAGTTCGCCAGTGTGAAAAGAGGCTACATTCAAACCACGCAAACTCAAACAACTTGTATAAACATGGTTATATAACTTGGTCGAAGCTTACTTGATGTTAACATCGATGACCTTGAAGGATTTTTCCACGAATTCCTTGACAGAGTACTGCTTGCCAGTGGCCACCACGTAATCTCCAGGCTTGTCCTGCTGCAACATCAGCCACATGCTCTAAAACAGACACTACCTCTCTCAAAACAATTACAAAAATATACTTTATGCGTTCAGACACTTAACGTTTCAGACAAAAAACTGATAAAATATCATTTAGTGAGCAAGTGGTCAGAACATTAATATTCAATGCCACTTTTTTAAGAATCAGAACGAATGTTAAGTGACCTAAAATTACAAATTTTGCAACTGAAACTAATAATCTAGGCATTTGAATTAAAGAAAACACCCGACTGTTGTAAATGCGTAATTGAACCCAGGGAAACAAGAGTTTAAAAAAATGAAAAATTCAATGTCATAACACAGGCGAGGCGGAGCTTCGCATCACTTGCGATAGAACACGAACATTGGAAACATCAAGTCGAAAAAAAATGAAAATGTCGAAAAACAAGTCTACCAAAATGTCCTTCGTATGTCTCGATAGAAATTCATTTCAGGCAAACAAAACAAAGAGGAAACGAAGCCGACAATCTTTGAGGAGACACAAGTTGAGCCGAAAAATTAAGATTTTATAAATTTAAGTCCCTCTTCAAATTTCATTGGACAACACTTGCACTTGCAACTAGAGGCCCAGCTAAAGCTGAGGGTAACAGTTTGATCTTTTGAATTTATTGCACCGATTAAAAATGAAATAGGTAATTTCAAAAATTCAAAAACTGGGCTTAAGATAAAGCCTTGGTTGTTTCTCTAAAATAAAAAAGAGGAATTTTTGACAATTTATTAAAACATACCATTTTTCTTACAAACAAAACATCTGGGGGCCATAAATTTTCTTGTAGGAAAATTTGGTTGAAGCATCTTATACAGCAAACTTTTTGTCAACCCTTTCAGTCAATTGAACACAAAATCTAACCTTGGGGAGGGTCTTTTTCGAGAACAAAACAAAAACTTCATAATTCAAAATCCAAAAAAAAATGTCAAATATTCCCCCAAAAGAGTTTATCGAAGGCTGTAAAAAGTGAGGTATGGTAAAAAAAAAAGACTAAAAGAATATGCAGGCACACAGGGATGTGGGCGATCTTACCATTAATGCCACTAAATTAAAAATCGGTATAGCAGTTTTTGAGAAAAACTAAATTTTTTAAGTGAAAAATTTTTCCAAAGCCTTTCACAAAATAAAATAGAAAACCGATTCCAAGCATTTTCATCAAAGTCTGTTTTTATCGAACAAAAAATGAAAAAATGCTTACAACACATGAAAAATTCATTATGTAGCAACAAAGCGGACAAACTTTGAGCAGACACCAGTTGGGCCGGAAAAAAAAACTATTTAAAAAAATTAAAAAGTTTCAAGGCCCCTAAAAAATCTGCAAAGAAAGTTCCTGATAGCACAAGCTAAATCCATGATGCGGTCAGTAAGCCGACAAAATTTGAGCAGACAAACGAAAGTCCTACAGTTCCATTTTAACTGGAAAAAAATTGAATGCCAATGCGTTCAATTTCATTGCGTTTTCTCTAGACTGAGTGGGAAGAAGCCTGCAAATTGTTCAGATTCGTTAAAAAAGCAAGTTCATTTTCTTACAGATTTTAAAGGAAAAAAGTTTACGGGAAAAATCTAGTTCCCGATCACAGGACACTTGTTCTCGCAATTTTAAAATATAGCCAACAGACAGGTGGAAAAAGTGAATGAACGCACGAAAACAGTAAGAAACAGGTGAAAAAAAATAATGACCTGTTTCTTAACACAAAAACTCAACTTTTGAAATTCTAATTGAAAAATTGGATATCACAAAAGTTTTGAATTTCGAGAAAACTCATGAGTTACACTTTTTTTCTCAACCAAATTTGAGAAAACTGGATGTAAATGTAAATTTTTCCTTCCGCTGTGAAATCTGGAATTCACTTTCGAAACTAGAGGTGGATCCCACTTTTGATGTACGATAGTGGAGGTTGGCTTCCTTTCAACAAAGGAAACAAACTGACCTTAAAAAGAAATCAAAAGTAGAATTGAAAGCAAAAAATTTTGAGCCTGAAAAGTTTTTCATGACTTTTCCTCAAAAAAATCATCACGACCTATAGAAGAGTCTGAACTACATTTATCAACTCGTAATAACTGACACACAAAGTGGGGCCAGCTGTTACTAGCTGACCACATTGGAAAACATTAATGTCTTCAAATGTTATCGAAGTTAATTAATACCATGTAAGAAGGACGATAAAAAAACTCGCTTTGAGTTGCTTAGCTGAAGAAAAATATTAACCACACTAAACAAGTATAGCCGGTTGCTGCGGAAGTAGAGCAGAATGCTCCAAATGTTTTTTTGAAAACACTAAAAAAGGTTTTCAACTGTCATAGTAAATAAAGCAAATCAGGCAAAGGTTTTTGTCAAAAATGACTAGAAAACAAAAACAAAATTCAATTCTCACTTGCTTTATTCGCTCAAAAAAGACCAAAACTCAAACATTTCAAACCGGTTTTTCTTGAAACTAAGACATTTTTTGAAAAATGACGTTCCAATCAGGAATCAAAAGGCTTTACTATGATAAACCACTCCACCCATAGCGATGATTATTTATGGCAAATGTTTTGGTCGAAAAACAAAAATAAGCCTGCACGCTCACCTTATTCGCTCGAAATTAGACCAAAAATATTATAGATCACTCCACCCAGTCCAATGATTATTTGTGGTACCTGGTTTCGCGTGGAAAACAAACAAAACAAGAACACACCTGAATACAAAATTCCTTCCTATTTTCAATGGTCGGAACAAAAACAAAATTTTTCATCATCTCCGCACACTCCCGTGTAAGACAAAGGCAGTCCAAAAGTTCATGTAAGTTTCGCATTGAGCTGATCGGCCCCAGAAAGCTATTTAAAGCATCAATATCAACAAGGATAGCTGATGACTAATTTCTTTCAAACTACTTTTTCATTTTGAATTTCAAATTTAAAGCCGTTTCTTGTTTAATAAAAACAAATAGAAAATAAATCGAAAGAAGAAGATTTCAGCAAAATACTGTTGGAAAAGTAGCCCTAGAAGGGCCAAATGAAAAATAATAATAATAAAAATAAAAGAACACTAATAAAATTCTGATGTGTCGGAATCGAACTTGCGACCTCGAGACGAAGAGTCTCACGACCTCTCACGTGCACCATGGACGCTTAATAATCTACCATTAAACCAGATATAAAGGCATAATGCTTATGCAGCAAAAGTAAAACAGAATCTTAAGCTATTGCCGCAAAAGTGACACCAAACTTATAAGCAGTTTTATTTGCAACTTGCATTGGAAAAAAGTACACTTCGTAATATGAAACTAAGCTGCTCATCTGTAAGTTAAAATATTCGACCCCATTTTTCTCATCACAGAGACAAAGTTCTATAACTCTTTATGGAATCTGAATTTAAACGTTATTTCAGCTGTATTAGCTATCGTTCGGCAGTTTATTTACATAATTTAGGCGCCCTTTCTGTAAATTTTTGATATTTTTTTGGTTAAAAAAAATTAAATTTTGCTAGCAAACGGCGCTTAAAGGAAGAAAAAAATAAAGAACAAAAATTTATCATAGCAAAAAAAATGCAGTAGAATTAATTGAGTGTCCGAATTTCGTGAAATTTGTTATGAAATTCGGGCAAATTCAGACAGCCTTTTAGTTTTTTAGGAATTCAAATTACAGTTGAAACGTCTTTATACCACACGTGATCCCATATGAGCTTTCCTGGAGGCAGTCAAAATGGGGAAGAAAAAAAACCTCCTCCAAGTTCCTTCCCTTCACTTCGTGAAGTGGTCGGAACAATTAAAACATAAGTTCGCTCTTAACTTTGTCCACTAGTGTAAGTGAAAAATGTTCATAAACACTTAAATGTTTTTTACCTCTACGTAGTCTTTTGCGTGTCCCCAATCTCGTTTTGCATCCATGTTGCCCAAAGAAAAAGACTCAATTTTGCCCAATTTAATGTTGGCCACACTGCGAGTGATTTTTCTAGTCACGAAATTCTCACCTGAAACCGGGAAGATTAAGTTTTCCAAACAAGATGACTCTCTTCAGAACAACAACTCTTTCTTAACGGTTATAAAAAATTTTGGGATTTAAATATTGGAAGATTTAAATATATATCAATTTTGTAAAACTTGGTCTGTCGGATCTTATCTATCTAAAGATGTGACAGCATCTATTGCTCATTATTTTGCTTGACAACTGCTTTACCTCTTCGAGGACTTTCGTGGTTAAACAGGATGCCTGATGTCACATGTATGTTATAACCTTCTCTGTACACTTTGGCTAAGGTATGGGCAAACACTTTGGCACACGCTGAAACATATCAAATGATTGAATATCAATTACATTGGAGATAAAAAATCATAAATTCTCAGCGAGCCGAAAGTCTGTAGCCTAGGCAAAATTTCATAAAATTAATTAAAAACTACTAGCAAATAAATATAAGATCATTATGTGTAAACAGAACAGTGAATTCATGTTCCGCTCAATCGAATTAGAGCGACCTCAAAGCGTCGCAAAAATGGCAATATACTCTAACTCTACGCTTAACTTGTATAACTGTTTTGATTAGTAATTTAAACTTGACTCACCATATGGAGATCTAGGATTAAAGGGCGTCTTTTCGGTCTGTGGAATTTCAAGCACCTCTCCAAACATTTCACTCGTTGAAGCTTGGTACATTTTGCACGTCTTGTCCAACCCCACAATTCTAATGGCTTCCAAAAGTCTCAAAACACCCATACCGTCAACATCTGATGTGTACTCGGGCATCATGAAGGAAACCTGAATCAAAAGATTGATTATGATTCTTTTAGGCTTTTCTTTCGGCGGAAGGCGAACAATCCTTAGGCCCAACAAGCTGAACATAAAATTACCACTCCAAACATAGCCAACTAACAGTTGGAAAAGAGTGATGAACGAAAGGAAACTGAAAAAAACTGACTTGTTTTTTCAAGAGCCTTCAACTTTTGATTTTCAAAGAAAAAAATAGATGACCTTAAAGCTCTTTGATTTTGTGGAACAACTTAGTATGGACACTTTTTTGTTAAAATTAACCCAATTTGAGAAAACTGGATCAATAGCTGAAACTTTTATTTCGCTGGGAAATCTGATAATGAATTTCCACTTTCGTAATTAGAAGTCGATCACGTTTTTCAAACCCTCCTTTTAACAATGGAAATGCACTGAACTTAAAAAGGAAACACAAGTCAAACCTATATTTTAAATTTTAATTGACTTCTTTCTGAAAAAAAATCAGCAAGGCGGCCTACATAAGAGTACTCACTACGTTCATTATTCTTAACAAGGCTTCAAGATATGGCGGTTTGATGAAAATCCGCCTCTTTTCGTACGAAAAAACTCAACAAAGGAGCCAACAAAAAATATACATGTTATTATTTGCCAGTTGCTATGCAATTGGCACCAAAAATTGCGACCAGTTATTTACAAAAACCTAGGTTTTGTTTAAATTTATGTCTTCTCTTTTGTATGGTCTGCGTTTCACTAAGCTTGAAGAAATAGATTTTAACAGTTAAAAACAAAATATTATTTAGCTTGATTCAAAAAACGTCGGGTTATTGCATTACCTGCTCTTTTCTCGCTTTTAAACATATTTTTCTTGACTTTTTGGATGTTTCTTTACACATTTACTCGAAAAAAACTTGGAAAGTCTTCATTATCAATCGTTCACGACTGAAAAAGCTTTAATATGCTATATCAATCAACATGTTATGACAATTATTTGTGGAATCTGATTTTGAGCAAAAGAAAATTCGACAATCGAATAGCAATTTCCTCGCCACTTTTAGTGATATGGGTGTTGATGTTAGTAGCTCCTCGCAAGCATTGATTCGTCTGCTGCCCCAACTCGCTTTTGTCGTTTATTTTCAAAACCCCACAATCGTAATTGTGATATCGATTTGTCTCGTCTGTCAAACAGTGACTATGGCGATCTCAGGGTTCGGTAAGAGCGAGAAAGCCCCCTATTTCGGTCCTGAGAGAACTTCCTGGCGGAGCAGTTTTTGATACGGAGAAACGAGAGAAACTGTCGAGCAGTTTTTAATTAGTGCGGAAAATCGAGAAAAACTCCTAATAAGAGTTGGTTTTTGTTTCTGGGGAACCTTAAAACTCCTCCTGTCCAAATGTTTTTGAAGCCAGTTAGTAAATTCGATAGGTTGGTCTCACAGGTCGTCTATTTTTAAAGTTGTTGGTTTGCCCGGACAGTTAAGAAGTACAAATACGTCATGAGGACTATAAAAACAGTTAGGATAGATGTTATTGTTGTCCTTACTGATTATCGATAACAAGCTGTTCAGATGAGTGGTATATCCGCAGCGCAGTTGAGCAAGAAGGCATCTAGTACGACCAGGAAGGCTACTTTCTTACTGTGCGGTATAGATACTCGTTGAACCGGTTAGTTTTGCAGTGTTACTGTTGATTTAGTTTATAACTTCCGTCCGGTGAACGTTTTTAAAAGCAAGCTTGTAATCTGATTGTGAGATAGATACATCTTTGTCGAGGTTATTTGTGTTTCATTGTGGTATTTTTCAGCCAGACTATTTCAATTTTCTAGATTTATAGTTTAGGCGTGTAGTGTGATAGTCAGCAGTAAGGCTGATGCGCTCCGACTAATAATTGTTTCTTTGAGAGTTTTGATTGGCAAGATTTCGGTTTCGCAATGAAGGTGCTCTAGGGCTCATTTTAGTGCAACCGTATGCAACTTTAAGAGCAGTATTTTATTAAATCTGGAGGTAATTTCATCTGGTATTGCTAAGCGAAGGCGACCAGACTGGAGCAGCATAATTGAGAACACTACGCTCAATGACATTCTAATTAACAAAACGTTTCTTTTCTGCAGGCCCAGTTAAAATCAGAAAGTTGTTTCAGAAAATTATTTCTCATTTTAGTTTGTTCATATTATTACTGATATGGTGTGTAAAAAGATTCACAACAGTGACGCTCAGGATTTTGGGCTTGTTGCTTGTTGGTAAAACAGTCTTGTTCATGATGACATTAGTTTTGTGTTTGACCTCTTTTGAGCAAATTTCATCAAACCCTGCATAACTTTCAGTGGTCGGAACAATGAGCTTCCATCTTTGATTTTCCACTCTTCTTATTTTTCAGACCCTTTAGTTTTCCCGTTCCTTTTTGATTTGTTACCGTGTCGTGAACAAATGATCAATTTTTACAATTGTTGGACAAATTAGCAAACATTTAAAAAGAACAGCCGGCTTCAAAAACAAATTAGCAAGGTTGATTTCTACTTTTAAATACTAGCCGACCCCATTCATTTTAACTTCAGAGATAATTCAGAAATAACAAACAAACTTAAAAAAAAAACCTTTTTTTGGAAAAATTTCTCAAAAATTGCTTTTTGCGGATGGAAAGATGCGGCGCTAAATTCAGCTTCGACACCTCCCTATAAAATAATTCTAGATCTTGAAACTTCGGAAGACTTCTTACAGGCGTAAGATTCGTAAAGCGGCGTAAATCTTCAACAAATCGTTAAATCATCAACAAACTGTTTTAAACGGGGACATTTTTGCGTTTTGCCAGCGAAGCAGGGGGTAAAACATCATCGACAGGAGCACTGATAAGTTGAAATTGCATTTTCGGATCATGAATAAGTTCAACACGCAAACACTAACGAGAACACAAAAAGCAGCTCTATGAAGTGCAAAAACGTAGAAATAAGCGTCGAATTGGTAAAAACTTGGCAATGTCTCGGATTCGATTTGCGACCTAAAGATTTTGAGTCTCATGCACTAAGCACTCAGCCACGGACGCAAAATTATACTCAAACTTTAGTCACAAACAAAGCAGAGAGCAGATGCTATGAAATTTCCAATGCTACAGATCGTGATGATAGCAAAAAAAGCCACAAAATAAGCGAAATTTTTTGATGAACAGTTTTATTGCAAGTAAGCTTAGAAAAAAGAAGGCTCGTACTAATACACTACGCTTGCCGCCGGTGTAAATAAAGCGAAACAATTATTTATTTACATTGCCATATAAAAGGAGTTACTAATTGCTCTAAATAGTTGATAACGCAAAATTTAGAACCAGTTTCTCCGATACCATTACACTTCCCAGCTCAGATCACCATAAGATATATAATCCGAGACATCACCCATTTGACGTTTACTTGTCGTACATGAATTTGCGTGGAAAAAAGCACCCAAATCTAAAGTTCTCTTACATCTTCGGCGGTCTGAACAGCAAGTAAAGCCTCGAAACTAGAAATATCCCATTTGGCTTCTTGACTAAATCGAAACTTCCAACTAAACGGAAGCAACGGAATCCTGGATATAAGTGTCAAAGAACACAAGGAAACGGAAAAAACTTCGAACTTCAAAGAAAAGAAATATATGGCCTTTGAAGTTCGTTGAATTTCAAAACAAAATATGATTGAGAAAACTGGATCAAAAAGTAACATTTTTATTCCGCTGGTAATTCAGAAAAACCGAGTCCATTTTGGAAACTGTTTCACATTTTTCGTTACCCTAAATTTTTTGCTGTTCGATGGTGTAATGTACCTTCCTTTTAACAAATGAAATCAGCTGAACTTGAAAATCAAAGTCAAATCGGGAAAAATAAAATTTTAGTGTGAACATCTTTAAATAAATTCAATATAAAATTCAAGACCGCAAACATCTGAACCATTAGACCACGTCAATACGGAAAGGTCAGAAATAAACAAACCAGAAAAAAATCAAATTATTGCAAGAAAAAAAGGACCACAACCTTTGTACAAATCAGATTTTAGGAATAACCTTCGCTTATCTTACGGATGGAAGGGATGTACTTAACAATCTCCACCCCTTTCAAGAAAGGGGGGAAGATTGTTAAGTAGATCAAAATGGTCGATTTTTCCACCAATCAGAAAGCAGCAGAATTAGAACTCTCCATAGAAAGCTCAGAGCTAATTTACTGTATTTATTTATAGTGCATTTTTAAGTAGGTACAAGAGGGGGGAAGAGCGGGGGTGGGGGATTGTTAAGAAGATCCAATGTAAGTCTCCGAACACCCAAGCACACATGTCTGCGCCGTCAAAAATTCTATAATTCTCTCTCGCCTTTTCTGTCTGTTTTGTCCCAAATGCAATCTCAAGAAATGGAGTCTAACCCCCTGCCCTCTCGGCCACGAACGCTTAACAAACGGCAAACACTAGTCACAAATAAAGCAGCTACACATTGATAAAATGCCAATGCCATTCAGCAAAAGTGGCACCAAATACAAATAGACACACTTTTGCATGTAGTAATTTGGAATATAACAAACAGAAGGCATCCACACTAACTTTGAATAAATTAAACCTCAACCCTAAGCCACATTATGTATAGATTATGCATTTCAACAAATTGCGAGATTTATTGACATAAAAAAGATGAGAAATCGAGTTTTTATTAATGTTATGTTGTTTGAAACAAATAGCTTTTTATCAACTGTGTTAACTTGTTACTAGTCGAATGCCAAAGCACATGCTGTCAAAAAGCTGTAAAAGTGGCACAAATATTTGCGACTTAGACTAGAAAAAAAAGAAGTTCTTAAAAATTTCCTAAACCAGCCGAGTTGATAAAATTACAAAAAAAAATTCGGATAATACGGATACGTAGAGTCCGGGAGATGAGTCCTTTGAACAAGTTATTTACTAGAAAAATTTTAAAAAGCATCAAAAAAGAGAAATTAAAAAGAGCAACGCGTAGATTCATCTAAACCGACAACACAAGACCATTACTGGAAAAATTTTAAAAAGCCTTAAAAAGAGAAATTAAAAAGAGCAACGCGTACAGCCATCTAAACCGACAGAACACAAGACCAAAGCAAATTATCCCAGAAAAAAAACACATTTTAGAAATTATTCCGACAAAAACACACGTTCAAACTTCATAACTAAAATTTCAAAAGAAATCAAATTGATGCAGGGGCGGATCTAGGATTTTCTCGAGGGGGGGGGGGGGGGCGGATTTTCAAAATTTTTTTTTTAGGTCGACCAAATTGATTTTTTGAGCTCTCCCAAAGCACTATTTTGCCCCTATTTTGGCTACATTTTCTGGGCCGCAGGCAAATTTTGAAAAAACAGTCAAAAAAGCAGTTTTTGGGCACTTTTTGAAAAATTTTGACAAAATAATCGCGCTTTTTTTGGTGCGCGCTCCCCCTCAAAGTTGGTATATATTGGCGCCACAGGCGCCTTTAAAAAATTTTTAGGGTTGGTCGGCCAAAAATGGATTTCTGAAAAAGTATCAAAGGGGCCCTTTGGGTCGGCAGGGGGTCGAATCCCTGAGGGGGGTGGGGGGGGGGGCGAATCCCTAAATCCGCCCCTGAATTGATGTATTTAGCAATTTTTTAAGCTGTGCGCGATCATAACTCCCATTTTCAACGTCAAACGTACCTGAACATGACTTTGAGCTGCCAAATTGTAAATTTCATCTGGTTTTGTTTCTGACAATATCCGCACGAGACTCGAGGTATCAGTGAGGTCACCATAATGAAGTTTGAGATCTGAAAAGAAGAACGCATTGCTATACTAGAGCTTCCAGTTAATTGAGACGGTCCAATTTGTCAACACATAACCCAGAAAATTAAAACCTTACAACAAGGGATACATTTTGAGAAAAGAAAAACATCTAAGTATCACGAAACTCTCAAGTACAATTTTGAGCAAAAAACAGCCTTTTTATGCTCTCTACAGTGAAAAAAAAATTACTGAGCGGCAAAATTTACCTGAGCGGCAAATAACTAAGCGGCAAAATTAAGTTTTTTTTTTAAATATCAATCTGAATAGCATCAATTATTGCAGAAATTTGGTAACAAAAACGTCAAAAGCTAAAAATTTTTGTATTCTACCACATCCTTCTCTATATCATAATTATCACAAGTTAATATGAGGCACATTATTGCTAGTATACAAGCAAGGTAGTTTGATATCACCCGTGATTTAAGATTGGCCAAACCCATGTGATGGTTTCTCTTTTGATCCTAGAAGATTTCACGACTTCGCTTCAAGGACAGTCAATAAATTTGAGTTCGTTAAAAACTCTTAAACCAGATCAACTGTAGAAAGAGATACTGATTTTTAAGTGAAATAAATTACCTTTTGCTGCAAAGAAATGGTGTTAATTAACTTTGAACGCGCTTTCTTGCCAGACAAGAGCTGAATGACCAAAATTTTCCGAGGGCTTTACACATATATGCGGTAAACTGGTGTCGTCGCATCACGTATACATGTCACAATGCATATTTCCTGTAGTGAGCCATGCCACTACAAGAAAAAAATTGAAAAAGTTGAGGCAGCGAAACAAACCCACAACAAGCACAAAAAAAGTTGAGAATTTAAACTTGGACTCCAATGAACGCTTATTTTCTCAAGATCTCAAGATAATAAGAACTTGTACACTATTGTTACACGGTAAACAATGAAAATAGCACTTAGGAAACTTAATCAGCGAAAAAAATCTCCGGACATTGCACGCAATTATCATGAAGAGATTGCTAGGTTTAGCTTAGTTTAAATCTGATCATCAGGTCCAGGTGATGATTAGGCTCTTGATCAGCTCATTGTGTATTCCTTTCCAATTACCTTGTCTCGTATATATCAAACAAAAGTTTAGCAGTAGGCCAAGTTCATCTTAAGTGCAATGGAATGTGTTACACACAGAGGGATGGTTCAGCTATGGAAGCATCTCTAGCAGTCAAAGAGATCGAAACAGTTTTGACGAAAGCAATTCCGGAAACTTGCCAGCCCATGGAATATCTTTGCATCTGTTCAGAATTTTTTAAACGATAACGTAGGGAAAAAAACAGTTGTGTAAAAACTGTTGAAAATGGTTCCATTAAAATTGGAGTGAGCTTCAGGAAAATGAATTTATGAGAGAAGCAAAATCGTTTGGTTTGCTCGTCATGCAGTGCGTAGAAACCACAAAGGAGATAAAGTTCTTCCTCGGGTACGTCAATTTTACCGTGAAAAAAGTGAACAGAGATCTGGAGGAGAGATTCAACGCTGTAAATAAACATCCAAATCTTTAGCCCACTGTAAAAAGGGGGCTTAAGTAAAAAGTTGCAAATCCATTTGGATATGTTTCGTTGACTCACGTAAAAAAAATGTTTTTTGATGGTATCAAAAACTAACAGAGGCAGGGACCGTTCCTCATTTTAGAAGCTCCACACCATTCGTAGAAAAAAGAAAATAGGGCAATATTCAACGCAAACTTGGAAGCACTTCAACTAGGAATAAACTAGACAAGGCCATGAAATTGAATAAAAAACAAAGATAAAATGGCATTTCCAAAATTATGAGTAGCTAGGATTGCCTTCAGGGCCTTTGTCAAAAACATCACAAGAAAGGTCAACAACAGTTCATGCAAAGGTTAACAGCAGGGGGGTCATGATTATAAAGACACACTACTCATGTTCGTTGTGTAGTATCGGCGCAATTAGAGTAAGTTAATTATATTTATGGCGTGAGACCTAATCGAGGCACCAAAAAGCTGAAAAAAATGCCTATCTTTAAGGGCAATATTTTGGCAGGAATTTAAATCAAAAAAGCTTTACGGGCTATCTTGTGGTGTAAACACTGAAAAAAGGACTCACTCGTAGTAAAAGATCTTATCAGTGTAGAAATGAGGTTACGAGCGCAGGAAAGACATCGGGGTTTTAGACAAGGCAAACACTAAAATCAAGCTATTGAATTTAGAATCAATTCTCATGTGAAACGAGACTGAGAATACACACGCACTAAATGAAGCTAAACTTATTGTTCCAAAATTGGAATTTTGGCTTATAGACAAAAAAATATCAAAATCGAAATAAAACAGTGACATACTGCAATATAAAAGAAAGAGGAGGTTTGAAATTTTACGTTTGATAAGGTAAGAAATACGAGTTGTAGAAAGTGTCAGAAACTTAGTTCACACTAATTGCTGTTTATCTAAATTCTGAGCGAACTTCATAATTGACTGTGTAACTAGATATTTTTTGAAAATGTTTTGTGAAGGTAAAGTTTCCCAATATGATTTTTTGATCGATGATCAGATTGTAAAAAGTTTTTTTTTGATTGGCCTGATACTCAAAAATATTCGTAATTTATTATTTTAATTCTGTCTATAAGTTGAAATCAACATGAAAATCAAAATTTTAAAAAGTACACAGTTAAGGATCATATTAGGCAATTGTGGAATTCAGATGCATTTTATTTTTTTCGGCTTAAATTTCCATGGGCTGCCACATTTTTGTCTCTTTGGTAAAAATTTAAAAGAAACAGGTTTGAACTTTAAATGAGTTTGTATGTTAGAGGATTTTTTTAGATGATGTTCTTGAATAATGATTCTTAGTGAAAAGGATGTGAAGAAATAATCTTTTTAAATACAGTATTATTTCGCTGCATAAACACATTTTTTGGATTCGACAGTGTTTAGTCAGCTGATGGGTTGGGTAGTCTATTTTCTCTTATTAGCTGGAAATAGGCTGTCGAGTTTTCCAAAAATGGCATTCTCCAGTAACAGAAAAATAAGTTTTCAAAATTCTGTATTTGGTTTCAAATCTTATTTTTTTACGGTTGCAACATGTTTTACTATTTAGCTTATTTTTAGTGGTAATGGTTTATAGTAGTAGTAGAACAGGATTTAGGGTTGTTATCCCATGGGTTTGCACCCAAAATGTAGTTTTAGTGTTAATGAGTTCTGAGTTTTCCATTTGGGTTACAGTTTCCACATGGACACATTATTCGCCATGTGCAGCTGTCCATTTCTGAGTATCTTTCGAAGAATTTCCAATAAATTTCCGCTATGTCAGATTTCTGTATGTCAGTTAACTGTTTTGAGGTATGTCGAATTATGACATTGAAAAGTGCTGGGCATCTAATGAAAAAGTCTGAGTTGGTTTTCTTAAGGCCAGTTTTCGGCATTTGATATTCGTTTCTTTTATTTTGTCTCGTTGAGCTTTTGGTGTTTTCGGCATATTGGTTAATGTCAATTTCGTAGTTATTGCGAACTATAGAAATGAACAGAAGGAGGTCGTGCATTTCAATGTACAGAGACAGCGGTAGCATTCTTAATTTTTGTAGTCTACACTTATATGGGATATGTGAGTTAAGCGAGAGTTATAGTTATAGGACAGTTTTTTGAGAGGTTACGCTTTAGTGAGTAAAAAGCCGATAGCGACTTCTGACAACGGTTACACGCATTTACATTCCATGAGAGAGTGGGTGTTACTAAAATTCCTAGATCCTTTTGTTCAGTTTCGATTTTTAGGATATCTTCATTAATTTTACTTTCCAGCTCGTTTTTGAAATTAACGAGAGTACATTTTCCGGTATTTATATCGGCTTCACAGTATATTTTCCGTTTAATACTTCTATAGAACCAAGTATCTCCTATGGCCTCGCGCTGAATCACTTTGTCTACCTCGAGATGGCGATCTGTTATGTCGTTGGTCAATTTATCAACTCGTGGGGGGATGCCTAACACGTATACCCTTTCGCACAGATGGGATAGTTGCTTAGCAAGTTTTGCTAACTCTTTTCCAATGTCTTCGGGATCGCGTGCGGAGGGTTGGGAACCGTTGAAAGTGTCGTTTCCGGCAATAAATAAACAGATTATTTCGTACTGACCTTTCGTTGGTAAATGATTCTGTACGTGAAAGATCCTACCACCAGGAATTGACAGAATGTTGAAGTAATAAATTTGTTGATGTAAAACATTGTTTTATAAGAACAAGCCATTTTTTTATAATTTTTTTTCTTCCGGCGACATTAGGGTTTCGATCAATTATAACTCAGAGTTAGTTTTCAATTACTTTTTTTATTTTCGTTTATTTTCAACACGAACTTAACTTTTAAAATCTCTTTGATTCTGCATAATTTTACTGTAAAAAAATGAACACAGATACTTAAGCAAATTCAATGTGTTCTAAACTTTTTAAGCTATAGCATCGCAACAAATTTCCTCCTGACTCAGAACGGATTCAAGATTTTCTGTTTTGATAAATAGCATTGTATCATCAGCATAACGATCGACCTTAAGGTAATTTGGAAACTAATGATTCAGATTACTTAAGATAGATTGAAAATAAGTTGAACTAGCACTGTACCTTGCAGAAGACCTTGAAAAAATTATAACAAATTGATTGCGTATGATTTTCAAAAAAAATTTCGTTGGATCCTACTACATTTACAGCTTTCAGCCAATTTTGTGGAATATGCCATTTACGTAAAAGAACTCAAAAGTTTGCGACAATGAATCTTTCAGAAATATTCAATCTAATTTTAAAGGTGAATAGATTTTCTATAACCGAGTCTTTTGGCCCAGAACTTGTAAATAGTCACGTAAGAAAAAAACTAGATAATTTATTTAAAGTTGTTGACTGTTAGTTCAAAGTGCACGAGACAGAAAAAATATGAATCGAAGCCATAGGAAGCAAAAAAACAAGGAAATTCAATTTTTTACAGCAACACTTTATTGCTGAGGACTCTCTAGGGCTTATTATTATATTAAACTTATTAAACT